TCTATCAAAAGCTTCTTTTTTTTAAATAAGATTCAGGAGATAGTTTTACTAAAGTTAGAGGACAGAAACTGTCATATTTTCAGACATAATTCCATTATTCTTTTGATCTTGAGGCCCTCCACATGAAAAAGATATTTTTTATTTTCCTTCTTGTTTTAAGTTCATCACTTGATATTGTAAATATTGAAACGATCAATAAGAATTTATTACTTCCAATCCAATAATATAATTTTCTTTGTCTCAATTTCATATGTATGGTTAGTTAACACTCTATCATCCATGCTACCAGGGGGGTGGTTCATAAAGCTGTTCGTAAAGTTACGTATGACTTTACGAACGACTTGTATATAGCCAAATGGGATGCTCAATCATTATTTACTGCATCAAATAAAGTTAAACTGTGTAGATGTAGATTAATATTCTTATTATAACAAACATTTTTAATGCAAAGTATATTTTTTGCCATAATTTAATTGAGGTTATTGGAAATATCAGGAAAACTTTGGGCATTCTATCTGGCACTTCATATACAGTGTGTCCCAGAAAAAACGAAACCGAGAAGTATCAATGTTTTATCATATCTTAATCACAACCATGATTAATGAATGATACATATTTGGAAAGCTTAGAGTCTCTTCTTTCAGTTGATGCTACATACGTGATGCATATTTCATGCATGAGTGATTAAAATCAATTTGAAGGAAGGAAACCAAAAAGTAATTTGGCGGGCAGTATCTGAATTTCAAAGAAAAATTCATATTTCTAGAAAGTTCATTTTCTGCTCTTTCATATATGATACCTCAATCAAGAAAAAATGAGACAGGAATAACAAAGTTCTGTTTGTTTAAAGTAGCCCTTACATTTTCATAATTTTAACAAACGAATTTGTTTTCACTGGGTGCCTGCCGTAGCAAAAAGCAGATTTGACAAAAGACTTAACTCCTTTTGTTGACAATCAGCCATGCATGAAGACTCTCATCTACGGCTGATTGTCAACGAAACGGAGTTAAGTCTTTTGTTAATTTCGTTTATTGATATGGCAGCCAGCCAGTGAAAACAAATTTGTTTAATAAAATAATGGAAATGCAAGCATTACTTTAAACAAACAGAACTTTGTCATTCCTCACTCATTTTTCTTGATTGAGGTGTCATATGAAAGGGCAGAAACTCAACTTTCTAGAAATGTGAATTTTTCTTCGAAATTCAGATACCGCCCGCCAAATGTCTTTTTGGTTTCCTTCCTTCAAATTGCTTTTAATCACTCATGCGTGAAATATGCATTATCCGAGTAGCATCACATGAAAGAGGAGACTCTAAGCTTTCCAAATATGTATCATTCATTAATTATAGTTGTGATTAAGTTATGATAGAACATCGATACTTCTCGGTTTCGTTTTTTCTGGGGCGCACTGTACAAGTCGAAGACACGCACAAATACTCAGTGTGTTACATATTGTTATCCAATTCATGAAACAAACATGCACATTGTATATCCAATGATGTTATTCAAAATCTAGCACCTCATGATTTTTTAGGCTTCCAAATTAAATCAGTTCTCACAAAACTCTTTTAGTTCATAGTACTATTGCACCTCTGGTACCATTGATACCATTCACAACTTCTCTTTCTCCTATGCTATAGAAAAGAGTCACAATGAATAGGTGCATAATACAACCAGGGCTTTGGTAGCCTGGCTTTATTAAAATGGCAAAAGCAATTCTATTGTACTTTAACCCTTCTGGTTCACTAAACAATTATTGAAAAGAAAATTCCAACAGACAGAATTGGGTTTTAATATTTTTTTGATCGTTACTAAATTTGGAAGTAGAATATCTCTCACAGGAATACACTGGCATGTTTCTGCTAAAAGAAAGAAATATAGAAAAAACAGTAGGTCCGTGACCCAGCTCCCATCCCCTTTGCACCAGGAACATTTATTGGCAATCTAGTAGTGTTGCTCCAAAGTCCCCTGCATGAGCAAGTATCCCATTCAAACAAATTGAGGTCTTCTTCACATAAAAATGATTCCTAGAATCTTTAGCCAGAATCTACACCAACATTTTGATATGAAATCATATCTACACTTAATAACCTATCAGAATATGAAATAAAAAAATGAGGGTAACTGGGCATTTTGGAGAGATATCCTTGATTCAAATAAAACAGTTTTAAAAACCATTTTTCAACAGTTTTAAAGATTCCCACCTGTGCATTTTAAAGTTTGCCGTGCATGCATTGCTGTTTGGATGGTCGATATTGAAGGGAAATAACTTAAATTCTTAACAATCTTATAAGGAATTCAAAAACTTTTTTTTTAAATTTCAGCAATCATTAAGGAAACCATGCAAAATGTTGTAATTCTTGAAATGACCTGAAACATACAGAAAATGTTGAAGTTGGGCATTTTGAGAATTTTAAAACTTTGATGCATTTGTACCTAAGAGAGCAGTCATGCATGACAAAGTAACTGTAGGATGACACATGACCTGAAGTTCATGCATACCAAGTTTGATGCAGAAATGAACATCAATACATTTGGAAAATATTGACAAAAATGAATTTACAAAATGGCATCTAGATGACTGCATGCAGAAACAATCACATCCAAAAGAGGAGATTCCCTATTCCAGAAGATAGGGAATCATCCTAAAAACTTTGAAGGATTTGACATTTAGCATGCAGAAGATAGTGGAACCAGAAGAAGGTAAAGGAAGAAATAATAATAAAGATTCTGACAAAATCAACAAGTGATTCTTATGCTATGCAGCGGATTACCTAATAAATACCACAGGTTAAAGGGCATTGAAAGAAAAAAGTACGGTAGCAAAACATTCCTTATTAGCAAAATTACATTTTTTTTTTTTTGTCCAAACTGAATTTGCAACTGGCAGTGTTTTATTTGTGAACCCCATTTGTCATGTATAAAAATGATGGCTTCAATTTTCACTCATATTATAGAAAACCACAGAGTCTTTTGACCGTAAATTTCGCAGATACTTCATAAACTTATCTTGCTGCTACAGATAAATTTTGAGATAATTTATTGAGGGCTTACGTTTCCCTGATAGGGGATTTAAAACCATCTAAATTTCAATACAGGAGCCTAGATTGGTTGTGATTAACAAAGTGTTCCTAACCTATAAAGGGAAACTATGGTGTGACACCCTCAAATTGAATTTCACCTCATCCCCCATGACCAACTTTGGCTGCAAAGTGATTTTGTTTCATACTAGTAGTGATTTCTGAAGACTTTTTTGCAGGAGTGTTATTAGACTAGAAACCACAAAAAAAATAATATTCAGTAAAACACAATAAAAGACAAAAGTTCTATAGTAACTATGGATGTATGCAAAGGACAGAAGAGTGAATTCTTTTATCTAGGAGTGCCTCTGTCTAAAAGATGAAATTCCTGCCGCACCTTTTCTTGCCATTTGAAAAACAACTTTGAATAGAACCTTCCTGCCTGAAACCAATACTAAAGCCAATCCTGTGTATTGACCCAGTTACTGGTCTTTATACTTCTCCCCCCCCCCCCCCCCATTACCCAACTTCCAAACTTATTTTGTAATTTTGATTCATGGTAAATCGAGGGTCGGCATAGAAAATCTGGCTATACATGTACATCAGTAACATTTGTATTGATCCTAATGAACATGACTTGACTTTGGTATATACTGTACATAATTTATCCATAGATCCCAACCATGCTGCCTCCGGCGCATGGTCTTTAGACTATTCATCAGAAGAACAAAAATCCTTATAGGTAATAGACAGGACAAAACGAGATGGTATAACAATAGCACGTTCAATTTGGCAAATATTGAACATTTATTCTTGAAAAAGGAAAGCAAACAAAATGGGTGCGAACCAGAAGTGAGAAACAACAGACATTTTTAAGCGCAGGTAAACTTCAGATAATAGCATTTTAACATTTAATCAGGCATTGCTCACTAAAGCCTTATCAATTACATGTAATAATTTCCAAATTTGTATATCCACTTTGCAACATATCTGTCATATTCTCTCTGTTACTATTAATAGCTCTTGCTCGAGTTTCTTCCTATCCTCCCTCTTTTCTATCTCCACTTTCCAATATCTCCCTCTCCCCTTTTAAGTATCCCTCTACTATTTCTCTTCTCTTTTTCCACATTTCTGTTTCTACTTTGAAACCTCTCTTCATTTGACTCTACTTCTAACAGCTACCGCATTAACCTTTCCCTTCTTTCCACAAATTTTTAATTCCTTTTTGCACTATTTTTGTCTTGTTTTCTTGCTGTTTAATAATTAATTAATATTATTCTTTTCTTTTCCTCTCTTAATTTTTTTTATCAGCACTTTTAAAGCTGTCTGTTTCTAATTACTATTTTTCGCAGGTTCTCTCTTCGATTTGCAACCCTCTACTCTTACCCTGTTGCAAAGTTATTTTCTCCACTTTGCAATATCTCTGTTTGTCTTGTTTCTGTTTCTAATTGCTTCTACTTTTTTGGTCTGTTTGGCAATCTCTATCTTACTTTTTGTGTCTTCTTCTCTTTCTGACCCACTATATTAATGTACAAATAGTATGTTTGCACCACTTCAGTCATTTTTTGAGGCAATCCTAGCAAAACTGAATTTGCACTTTGAGGCACGCATAGTGAAAGTTGTCAAGATTACACATTCACACGCTCGTGCCCCACAGACTGGCAGGTTGTGATTCTATGGGCTTAACATGAAGAGAGTGAATCTAGAAACATTTCTTATTAGTTATTGCATCACAAATGGGTGTGTCTCAACGAGATAAAAATCTCTGGTCTTATCTGAGATAAAATGAACCTCAGAATACTGCCCCTTAACTTTTGGATCAGAGAGATGGAGAAGATGTCATCAATGTACAATAAAAAACACAACGCATCTTTTACAGAACCACAAAAGACTGAAGATTGGACATAACAAGCTTTAAAACCCCAGCCACTTCTATACTCTTATTATCTCTGCTTATTTCATTAGGAAGACAGTCATACCTTGCACAGTGTGGAGTTCACTTTGTGGTGCTCCTTCATGTTTTTTCTGATCATCATTCTCATCTCTGTCATACTCGTCACTGCTACTACTGCTGGAGTCGGAGTCAAGGAAGATGGCTTGGAAGAGATCTAGAGGAGGGCGGGGCTTGTCATCACTATCAGCGGTAGAATCCTGAGATGGAACATCATACTCTGCAATCTGTGATTGGGAAAACAAGTTCAAGTTCATTTCCACATTTCATTTCAAGGTATCACAAATAACAGCAAAAACATTACATAACTGGCATGAAATAGCAGTAACATACATAACAGAATAAAATAGTACATCATACTGAAAGAAAGGGTAAAGATAAAATTGAAATGTGAAAGGGAACTGCATAAGACATTGGCCTTTTCAGGCAGAACCCCTATATACAATAAAATATATATATATATATATATATACAATATACTATATACAATTAAAACTTATGTAAATACATGTGCAGTGATCAAACTTTCTCTCATTTTTTTTTTCTCTCATTTTTCTGCTTCTATCAAAACCAAATAGGACTTGCCCTTTAAATTTTCCTCTTCAAATTACATTCACCCTAAATAGGATTATTGCAAATATGTTTTTAATACAACCCCTGCATGAAAGAATTGTATTTCTCCATCAATAACTAAATGAGAGTTAAGGAAGTTTATGAAATTGTCTGTATAGAGCAAATTGGAAAGAAGCTTGTGATAATCACAGTATTGCAAATTTATGTGTCACTGAAGACAACTTGAAGAATTCATAACGTTCCTATTTTTAATTGGGTATTGATAAAACTTTCTCTCATTTTTCTGCTTCTATCAAAACAAACTTAATATCAGGGTGTGCTTCCCCTTAATGATCAAACCATAAGAATGTTGAATAATTAGTGGAGCGATGGCTGTAATACCTGCTTTTTTATTTCTGTACAGAGAAGGTTGGGCTCTCAAATTGGCTTGCCTTAGCATCAATTGAAGTCAACATAGCAGAGTAGATAAAGTTTATTTTTATTGATTGATGGTGATGGTGACAATGAAACTATTTTGTTGAGTCTACTAAAGTCACTTAGCGTTTATTTGCACAGGTAGTGAGCTTGCTCAATGATCCTGCACCGCAGTACTTTGTGATCAATGTATAGCATTATGTTGCCTACAGACATAACCAATAATTATATAAAGTGGATTGTTGAAGTGTTGTGTTGAATGCTCACATACCAGAAAATCATCATTGGAATGAAATGAAGTTTACATCAGGTGCCACTGGCGTAAAATCATGAAGATATGATTTTTAATTAAAGTACCGGTATGAAAAACTATGGAACTTAGAAAATCACTATTTGGTTATCAGTTTGTGACGTCATTGCCTCACTATTTATCAATTGCTTTATATATTTCAATCCCATTAATTTCCCTTTTTATCCCCCCAAAACTTGATTTCCCCATGCTTTTGCCCAGGTTATATGATTTGTATCATATTGCTTGCGTGACATTTCACAAAATCTTTTATGAACTTTGAAGAATTGATACTATTTTCTGAATATTGTATATTCATTATCATTGATTTTTATATAAATAAAATATCAAAATTCTCATTTTTGTGATTTAACTGAACAAAATTACTCTATATCAGTGCATCCGCACAAAAACATATTACTATCAATATAACTTGGATGCTGGTGTGAGGAAATAAGATTTTTAGGGGGGGAATTGGAAATTTATATTATCAATATAAAGAAAACAATTAGTGGATAGTGAGGCAATGACGTCACAACTCATGAGTGAGTTGCCAATTTGTCTTGTGCTTTTCAAAGTTTTACATGTCATTAAAAATTCATAACTTTCTTATTAGTTATCCGAGTTTACTCAAACTTTTTAAATTGTTTTGTTTGATTTTCTGCTTCTATTGAAAGTAAGTTATTTTTGGAGTTGGACTTGCCTTTCAGGGTAAGGTCTACATATAGTGTTTGGTTGAGGGTTGAAACTAGGGATTTAACTTGAGGGTAAGGTCTACATATAGTGTTTGGTTGAGGGTTGAAACTAGGGATTTTAGTATTGTTACAAAGTTGACCAAGCAGCAAATGTCTTCAAAGCATCAAAAATTCTTTTACAGATATCACAGAAGAGCTGCATTGAGTGGGGACACGCAGAGCTCAACCATGCAAATTCTCTCTTTGTGAAGGAAGATTTTCATATCATGGAAAAAATAAATATTATAAAATTATATGTCTCTCGAAAGCTCAGGATTCTGTCTTTCATGTCATGTCATTTTCATCAAAATCCATTAATTACTTACGACACAGTTGTTTGGGATTTACCCTCTAATTCGTACCGTCTCACTTCGTTTGTCGCCATTTTTATTTGACAGCCGATTTGTATCCCTAGTTTTAGCTCAATGCGCTTGAACGCCATTTGTCTTTGAGTTTTAAAAATCCACTGGTTGGAAAGAGCACATCTTAAGCTTTATTTTCATATAAAAAATGATGGGGGTATGTTTAAAAAAGATCGTGAAAAATCAGAGTGAAAAGTTTGAAACAATTTTCTATATCAGAAAAACATACTTTTAATTCAATTTCGATACGAGAAGAAAGAGAATTTACTGGAGAATACGATCATGTAAATATTAAGAATGACCCCGAGATGGCGCTAGAGCGCCAATCCAATGAAAACAACTATACCCCTAGTCGATACGCTCTGAGCGAAAGTGACTTCAACGAGCAGGCACCCAGCTTCGCTCGAAGACCCGACGGGCCACATGGCCCCTCACCGCACCCGCCGCTTGCCGTCCCATCAAGATCCGAAACGGAGCATGAATCTGAGGCTTCAAATATCGAAACTGAGGCAGGATTTGCAGCATTTGGCGAACAAATTAGTAAATACATATATATTTCAACGGAATTATTATGCTAACGTAACCTAAACAGATTTTAAAGCGATCACAAGACCAATAATACATGTTTGTGTTTTTCCACTCGCAATTTTTCTCGCACCTCATGCGAGTGAACTTTGAATTTCAAAGTGACTTTTTAAGAAATTCAAGAACAAACTTGTGTAATCTTTGTCAATTTATAGAGTGAAAATTTAATCAAATTTTGTCAGAAAATTTTTTTTGTGTGTTTCAATCTAAATAAAATAACTGTTATGAAGGCTTTTCTGATCTTTGGAAAATTATTATTAAATTCCAATTTAATTCAGGCAGCGTCTTTTTAGTAATCATATCTGATTGATGCACGTCTGTGTATGAAAACCAAATGACACACACACACACTCGGTGATAGCTCGGCGGCAGTGCACCTCCCATACTGGTGTCTCTATTCTCATGTTGTGATTGTGAACCCACGCCAAGGATTTAAAGGGCATTTATTGTTTTCCCAGAGTTTTTAAATTTAAGATCGTGGATTCAATTCATGAATTTCAATTAAAAGGGATTTGTTATTATTTTTGTTTATATAGTAAATAAGTTAGGTAGGCCTACTCAAATTTTCCTCATTTCTTTCACCCCCACCCTCTCTCCAACCCCTCTCTCCAACCAAAGGCAAACTGATGGCACTTTGATGGAAATCTGGACTTCTTGAAGAGTGTATTTCTTTGAAGTTTAGAGCCATTTTCAAAAGCCATTTAAACTTTAGTTAAAGTAGGTTGATGGCCCAAAATACTAAAAAGAAGTGAGTCCCATACAGGCGCGGATCCAGGAATTTCTTGCCGGGGGGCACACGAGGGGGGGGCACACATATATATATATATATATTATTTTTTTTTTTTTTAGTCCCAAAAAAAAATCGCAATGACTCAGCCAGCCGCTGAATAAACGGGGGGGGGGGGGGGGGGGGAAAGGACACTTTTTTTTGGGGTCAAGAAATTTTTTAATTTTTTAATTTGCTCCGTGGGGGGGGGGGGGGGTTCGTTCCGTTTGTGTCTCCTTAGATCAAGATTACTGTAATCTTGATCAACCGGCCGTGTCAGACACGTTGCCCCGGGGTGCGAGATAGGACTCTTGTAGCGTGCCCCCATTTAAAACAATTATACAGTTACAGTTAACAATACATTTAATTAATAGTATGAAACTATTAAAATTACTCTCATGTTACGGGAAAAAATATTGCATATACATATATTATGAATCAATTGATTTGGTCGATCCAGTTTGATGGCACAAACATGGCACTACTGGACAGAGATCCTAATAATTATAGAGCTTGGTCTTGTTGCTCTGTTCGCCAGTTTAAGTTTAAGGATATGGAATCCCGCGGCACATTACTCACAAGAGTTCTAACAAGCCAAGCTTATACAGAGCCTATAATAAGTAATGTCGTACATGTACCACCCACCTGATCGATCAAAAACTCATAACTCATAACTGAAAAAAAAAGTAAAAAGAAAAAAAAAAAAAACACGAAATGGTAACCATCTAAAATTTCATAGTTGTGATAAATATCTATAAAGATTTATCAAGCACCAAAAATAAATAATATCATGTTCAAGAAAAGGATATATACACTTTGTATTCTTCTTTCGTGTCCTCAAATGCTCTGCCAGGCCTTGGCACACTGGAGAGCCTTCTCATTTGCTGCCACCAGGTCTTCCAGGCAGCATGGGTCGATTAGGAGTGGACATCTTAATAGGTGTGACATGGATTGCACGGATGTTCCACACTCGCAGTTGGTGTCTGTGTCGTCAGTATATCCCCATTTATTCATGTTGTATTTACATCGCCCCACACCTGTGGGGGGGGGGGTGGGGTAAGGTCACCTTTTTAGGTCAGCCATTGCCATATTTTTTTTTTTATTTTTTTTTTAATAATTTTTTTGGGGGTCGGGGGGGGGGGGAGCACATTTGGGGGGAATTTAGGGCTGATTTTAACTTTTTTTTGCGGGGGGGGGGGGGGGGGGGGGGGTCGGGGAGCGGGGAGCGGCAGGTGCCCCCTGTGCCCCCCCCCCCTGGATCCGCCACTGCCATACCTTCTATTGATGTGCCAAAATTCATTCCCCTACCATTAACGGTTTTCAATTTAGGCAGACTTGAAAACGCACAAAAAAGCTTAAGGGTGCTTTAAAATATGAAGTTTTAAGAGTTTAGAGCCATTTTCAAATGCCATTGAAAATTAATTTAAATGGATTTGATGGTCCAAACTTACAGAAATAATTAAGCTATATATATATATATATATATATATATACCCCCCAGATA